TGTTTTCGCGTTAACTTTGTATTTCACTTTGGCAGCTTATTTAAAATTTAAATTAAAAGGTTTTACATATGTGAAACGATTCTATGTAAAATAAAATTCTTGGGATCAAGTAGTATTTTTGTTCAAAGTAGATAATTTAAGCATAATTGCATATAAACGTATTTGTATTTGTATAACTGATGTTACGCTTTCTGTCCTTAGACTATTAAAGCTTCATCGAACCCCGAACCGGTGGGCTAGCCAGAACCCACGGGTTGGAGGCCCTCCTGAGTGGGTAGGACTGCGCATGTACTCCTGCGTGCGTTAATTATGGCATGTCGCCTACGAGCACATGTAAACGTATTTTTGTTTTACATTTTAATGTGTACTAACCGATACCGTATTTACGAGGTACATCACAAAACGGTGCAATATATTTCGGCTAATTACAATTACATTAAAATCCGTTGCATGACGGGCAAGAAAAAGCTTATGGTTACTAATTTTACTTTTAGTCATATTGTCGCCTTCATTCTGTAAACTACTAAAGTTCCAAAGAAGGCTGAGCTCGAAGAATAGCCAGATCCCACAAGCTTAGTCCTTGGGTTGCGTATGAACTTTGTGGTTATTGGGGAGGAATGAATAATGACACATAGAGTTCATTGACGTTCGATATGAACCGTGCCCGTTGACTGCATTAGTCGTTTGTTGTAATTCATATTATTAAGAAAATGTCTTAACTGACTCTTCTCGTCTCAATAGAGGATGGCTTGTAAATCATTTTAAAATGGCATGACCATAACCTTGTTATTGTGTTTATGTCTGAAACCTATGTTAACAATTATTCGTTGTTGAAAATTATTTGCTAGAACAATGTTTTTTAATAACCGTTCTACGCTTCATTTTGTTTAAATTTTAAATAGTTTAAGTTCAAAAGTCACGGCATTGTATTCAAATAATGTAACAAACCCAACTGCCAACGATGAAATACTTATTTACGATATTATTTTTCGTGAATGGGACATTAGTTTAAGTTAATCGACACCAATAGTAGTATTAACGATACTTACAGATATTTAGGAATCAAAGAACAATAATGCGAGAAAATGCGATATAGAAAGAAGGTAAAAAACACAAATAAAGAATGTTCAAGCGAACAAGAACAGAAAGGAATATTAAGATTGTTGTTGAGCCAACTATTGAGGCCACCAAATAGCACCCGATTAGAACCGCATGTTTCCAATTCATAAAAGATAAAAAAAATATTTATGGATTAGAATTGGTTTATCTTCCAGCATCAAAGAAAATGTATATTAAGATTCATAATTGAAGTTAGATTTTTTTCTGTAAAAAAAATATGTATCTTCAAGTGTTTTAAGTGTAAGTCATGACCATTTTTTAAACTTCCACTTCACGCCGGTCTTCTGTGAGGTCGTGGTACTTACCCTGACGGACCTGCCCATTCTTGCAAACAGCCGAAGCTCTTGCGTGGTTCTACCACACACGATAACATAATATAGTTATATTTATTGCTATTTTTGGAGTCAGTGTCAGCCAAGGTACGACGAAATTTTAAGGAAAATATTTAAAGCGTGTGAAAATACATCTCTGAAATTTTAATTTCTTTTTGATAAATTTATCGTTGCGTTATGTGGATCCTTCAGGTTGTTGCTCGAGTGAAAAGAGCAGAGGCGAGAGATATTAACCTTGAGTATATTTAAACACAAGAAAGAGCCTACAAATATGTCAGTTACTTTGCAACTGTATATTGGTCATATACGGTTGGAAAGTAACCAATATATATCGAAAAATATTCCTGTTCTTTAATAGAGTTTTAAGGGTTCCGTACTCAAAGGGTAAAACAGGACCCTATTACTAAGACTCCGCTGTCTGTCTACCTGTCTTTCTGTCTGAACCGTGATAGTTAGACAGTTGAAATTTTCATAGATGATGTATTTCTGTGGCACTGTTTTTGGCGTTTTTATAGATTACAGTACTGAACCCTTCGAGTGCGAAGCCCACGTAGAACTTGTCCGGTTTTTTCAAACAAGCTCACACGGGAAATGTAAACTTCGTTACACAGGGCCACTGCTTTCATAGAGTTTAATTTACCCATGGTTGATTGAAACAGACCAATTTCCTATATGTTTTTTGTAAATGAACATTAATAATAAATCAGACTTTTAAAAACCTAAATATATTTATATAAAAACCTATTGGGTCGGAAGCCATAGTTTTTAAGGAATACCTTTTGTATTTATACTTAATGCTTATTATAAAAGACAATTTTCAATATCTGATAATATAATGATAGACGTACTAAAATACTTGAGCGTTTTCGCTGTTTTACGTATACAATTATATCTATTTTAGGTTGAATAGTACTAATAAAATTTAAATTACATATCCAAGTATTGGTACAAGCAACCTAAATAACCCTAATAGTTGTGTTCATATTCTTCTTTATGTTTTTTCAATTAAAAATGAGTACTCAAAAAGTTTATATATTTATACTTCATTGTTACAGCTTAGGCTAAAGGCTACAATGGGAGGACTTAATGCCTAATGACATTCTATACCAGTCAACCCTTGTCATGGTGAGAAGTAGATGGCAGGTGCTAAACCGAAGAGTAAACATAACAAATAAATAAATTTCCTTTAAAATTAATAATTTTAGGAAAATATATACATAAAAATTTATATAATATGTGTGCGTATACGAATATGTATAATATGAATAATATTAACATCAGCTAAATATAGTTCTGAGTAATAACAACATCTCTCAATATATAAGTTTACTAAAATGTAATTATTAATTTCATAGGACCTCAAAACTTTATTTAGACTTGCCCAACTATACGTAGGATGTAATGCATAGTTCTTGAAGGAAAAACTGTACAAATAAGTCACTCAAACGCTTCACGTTTCTTAGTCCATAATGCTTTGTTTTTAAAAAAGGATACGGAACCGTGAAAATACATTTGGATACAAGAAAAATGTATACGAATATTTTATGTATGACGGGTATATTACGAGCAGTGGCTAAGAAACCACACATTGTAAAATTGATCTTTTAATTAAGACAAAAACAAATTAAGAAAAATTTAATGTGACCAGAACCGGGCACTCTTACTTACTTGATCATATTATTCTATTCGATTGATCGCTTTTACCGAAACCGCAATGTTGCTTAAACAAGTTGCACAGTTCACATATTCCGGTTTTTCCTCAGTTCACGTGAATTAACTTTTAAAGTTTCATACTTACAGACAGACAAATACACTCACGGCATGGTCAGTAAAAAATAGTACAGGGGAGCTAGTATATCGAACAGGTCGAAATCTTTTGTGTTTGATAAGTAGGTAAGAAAGAACGTAAACTCACTCAAGAAGGAATATCCTCTAAAAATATATTAAAATATTTAATTCGTTCTATTATACACAAGTATATTAGTATTTAAAAATGGGAATATTTGTATTCAAATGTTATGCAAACTTCAAAAAAAAGTAGCACATAGCAGTACGCTTTTTATGTTTCCTGTTTTTTTGTTGCGTAACTACTATTATGATTATAGTGGTATTCGACATAATAGTACTAGCTGTTACAATATAGTTAATCTTATTCATATTAGGAATGGGTAATATTTATCTGTTCCCGTGTTTGTGGTTTATCTTTTTTGTGGTTATCCTCAAGTCTTTTTGACCTTTTCACAATTTCCCAAAGTTTTTCACTAAGCCACATTAACTATTGATGTTTACAACAATCAGTTGTCAACGTCAAACCCAGCTAGATCGATTTTTCGCCTCGCTATATATTATAGTATAAGAATTTGTATTAGGTATTTGTTATTATATAGATATGTATTATATTTGATGATTTTATTTTTCTACATATATATTAATGTATTATTTTTGCACCACTATCCCGCAACTTTATTATCTATATCCTATACCCTAAGGTTGCCTGGAAGAAATTACTACCTTAGCATTAAGGCCGCCTGTATGTACACTATCTTTCCGGTATCTTCGTGCTTGTATTTCCTTCTGTACAATAAAGTATATTCAATCAATCAATCAATCAATTAGGAATGCGTTCACTTCAAAGGCTTATCAAATTGTAACTGGTGGTAACTTACAAACTTATGTATTAATTATTTATGTAAAATTCGACGTTTCATAAGAACGGGCAAGCGTCTAGTTGAATAAAGATATTTTGAATATAACAAGCTTAATTACGTTACATGGATGTTCTTATAGAGGTTCTTGTTTCGCCTATCGCGTAATCTTTCCGAATTGTTTCTTACATATAATCTTTAAAAACACTTCCTTCAGCAATGTCTTAGCAATGTCTTAACGAGCATAATTTATGTAGGTAGAATGCTAATTTTCATCTGCATGTAAAACATTAAGGAGTTTTTTACCAGCATTAAAAACTTATATTTAATATTTAAGTACATATCTGCACGCTAGCTGCAAACTAAGGGTATGATCCGATATGCACTGCGAGCACGGCACAGTGCTATCACTGTAAAAAAATTCGTTCCGTTATGGACTGCCAGCTGGCAGTATTCTACTGTGAGCAATGGCGTTTTCGAGGTAAGGTACTCGCAGTACTTTGATCACGTGATCAATCAAACTCACTCGTGTGCCTAATGTTTTATAAACAATAACTACAGTTCAATCCCACAGTAATAAAGTTCTGTAATTAAATTGGATTAATAAATAAAACAATGGAAGAATTTCAAAAAATAACCTATTAGACTGTATTAATTAATATGTTTGTAATAATATGTATTAATTAATAAAGTAATGACAGAATTAATGAACTAGAAAATTTTAATACACTCATTTGAATGCTGCGTCAAAAAATGCGACTGACAGTATACGGGATTGCGTTCCGTTTTGAATATTAACCAATATAACTAACTATTTCAGTGTTTGCCTCGGCTTGACCTATCGGAGATTACTTACCCTTCCTAAACACGCACACATATGCTAGCTACTTAATATGATCTGTCTATGAACGGATTCAAATCCCCCGCGAAGGGTGCGCGGGGAGAGGCGGCGGCAGGCGCGGGTTACGTCACCGCGCTCTCGTCAGTACGCTTATGTTTTCCTAGCGTGCGCATGTATGCTATTTGCTTTTGCTTAATTGCTTAATATGAATATAAGTTATTATTGTTTAAAGTTTTTCAACGTTGCTGTAACGTTACTCATTGGATATAGTGTAAGCAATTTCATTTTGTCTCAGTTTGTATGTATTTTTCTGTTTTCGAAAACCAACGCAAGCTCCAACACAGGCTAAGGGTAAACGAAATCCTTGGAACGCGCGGTCTATGGCGTCAGGCAAGCCCTCGTCCAGTACGTCTGCCTTCCGTTCCAGCCAATCCAAACAAATAGGGAAACAGTGTAGAAATAAAGGACGGTCACAGACCAATCGCAGATATTGACGGTTTTCGGGGAGGGCAGCTAGGGGTTATACATTACAATGGGAGAACTTACAAGCTCCAAGAGCAGTCCTAAAGATAATTTCAGGTTACGCGATTCCTTTTGTAACCAAGCAGCCCTCCATTCCTCTATGCAGGAATTCTCTGTTCGCAACAAAAAAGTCAGAAGCGATGACCAACGAATTCGAAGAACTTCTAAGATCAGGTGTTGTAGAGAGATCTCATGAGCCTCTTTTCCTGTAGCGGATGTTTCTCATACCAAAGTCAAACGGAAAGCTCCGACAGATCTTCGATATCCGTCGTCTGAACGCATTTCTCAATCCGCCAAAGTTCCGCTTGATAAATCAAATACAGGTTCCCAATTTTCTACAAGAGGACGACTACTTAGGGAAATTACACATCAGTAAGGCCTACTTTCATATACCGATAAGAAAGAGCCATCGAAGGTATCTGTCTCTCCTTTACGAGGGGGATCCATTCGAGATGACATCTCTACCGCTTAGCCTGTCCAGCGCGCCATTGGCTTTTTCTCTCGTTACCAAATGGCTCGCAAGAATTTTTAGAAGACAGGGATTAAAAGTTCAAGTATATTTGGACGACTTTCTCTTTGCCCATCAGGATCCTGCTGTTCTAGAGGATCAGTTAAGGCTGGCTGTAAAGTTTCTTCAGCATATAGGCTGGTGCGTAAACTTAAAAAAGTCAGTCATAAAGCCAAAGAGGCAGGTAGAATTCTTCGGTATTGTGTGGGACGCAGCGACAAACCCGATGAATTTGCCAGACGCAAAAAGCGCGATTAGTGAGGAACCTAGAAATTATTCACAAAACCGGTCGATGGTCTTGGAAGTCAGGCACAGCCCTATTAGGAAGACTAGGTTTCGCAGCCTTGGCAACTCCCTTGGGTCGTCTTAACACCAGGCAGATTCAGAGGGCCAGTCGAAAACTCTCCGACGAGCACCCCAAGAAGAAGTTCGGAGTTCCCTCATCAGCACATGCAGATTGCCAGTGGTGGATAAAGCATATCAATACTCCGGACAAAATCTTAATTCCGGAACTGACGTGCTCATAAGCACAAATGCGTCAAACCCATACTGGAGTGTTCAACTTGGATATCACTCTCTATCGGGTCAGTGCTTGTAGCTCTGTCGCAGTTTCAAAAAGCGAATCGAGGTTGTTCAGTGATGGTGCAATCCGACAACAGGACGGTAATATCTTACCTGAGAAATCAGGGAGGAACACGGTCAATCGTTCTTCTAGAAGCAACAAGAGAAGTGTTGAAGTTAGCCGACAGTCTAGACGTGACGCTTCATGCTTTCTATCTGCCTGATCGCTACAATATAATAGCCGATTGCCTATCGTGCGGAAACGGGCTTCCAGATTGGCACCTCAAGGGGAACGTTGTGAAAAAGATTTTCAAGAAATGGGGTACCCTTCAAGTGGAGTTTTTCGCCACGAGTCAGTCGAAGTTTGTTCCAGCTTATGCGTCAATAGAGGCAATCATTTTCAGCCGAGGTTGGCATTACAATCTTACTCAGGGTTTTCCACTGTCGCCCCTGATCCCCAGGGTGCTTCGTTATCTCAACAAGTCGTCGGGGACTTTTCTTGTAGTAGTTCCTCGATGGGAAGCAGTGATCTGGAGAAACGACTTGAAGCGACGGGCTCTGGGGGCTCCTTCTCAAATTCGCAATTTGAAAGTGTCTGATAGATCTGTCTGTCAATCGCCCATCTTCACAAGTGGAAGATCTGCTAGACGTCTGGCGGAGTAAACTAGTCGTTGGCCTAGATCCAGATGACGTTAAGCATCTGCAATCAGCGTGGAGAGATTCCACTTGGCGCACTTACAGCTCCGCATGGAAGCAGTGGGTATCTTGGTACAAGGAGAGGGAAATAGAACCCAACAATCCTAAACCTCAAAACGTCGCCGCTTACTTAGGTTATTAACTCGAGCCAAATATTTGGTATACCCTACAATTCTAGTTCACATCAGTAATTCTAACTCTTTCTGTTCCTACTCAAGAGAAACGACTTGCAACTCACCCTTTGATAACAACCCGGCGATTAGTGTAAAGAAATGCTTCTTTGCGAGGTCAAAATCGTAGATATGGAACGTTCAAGGTCTCTTTCAGTGGTTACGATCGTATGTCCCGGCTGATGATAATATTTTTCAAGTAACACGTTTTATTTTTACTTCTGATAGCTTCAGGACGCTGTAATCACGATTAAACTATTCTAGATATTGACGAACACCATTGTGAAAGAGCCGATTCCTCCATAACCTTTTGGCCCAGGTTTGAGTCCAAAACGGACAATGACAAGTATCGCCCATCTGGATAGCACCTAATTTATTCTGAAGAATTAAAAGCTGGGTTAATCGCTTAATCGAGTTAGCAGCCAATAGGCGATGAGCGCGAAAGGATCTATTCAATCTGTTTATCACGACACGAGGTGAAGTAAACGCAGCGTCAAGGTTCGTGATTGCTGGATGGCTCAAGACGACTTTTAAAGAACTAAGTAGGCATAGACTGCGGTCCCGGGTCCATAAGATCAGCAGTAGCTTCGAATGATTTCCAATTTAATGTCCCTATAGACATGATTCTGCAACGGAAAACTGGAGAGGCTCACGAAACGTCTTTAAGCATTACTGCAAATCAGTAGAATGTAAGCAGGACCCCAACGCTAATGTTTTAAATAGTTCCTTTAAGGCTGTTGAGTGAACACTAGCTAAAGCATTTATAAACTATTAGTGATGTATATTTTTATGGTACACGTCCTGGAATAGTTTGCATTAAATCATTATTAATAATGCTATCGAGTCGTTTTCAAGTCTGATTAAAGTTTAATTAGCTAGCCTAATAAATGTGATTTTAGTTTTAACGAGTACCTACTCTAATAATTAAAATCTTTAGGTACTTAGATTATAAAGTTTTATTCTTTAATATGAACTTAATATTTTCTTTATGTCCATTACGACCTTACAAGGACTTATTTCAGTCACCAGTCACAGTACGCTTTGGAGCGCTGGCAGATTATAAACACTTCTCCGATAGGTAAAGCCGAGGCAAACACTGAAATACGACCGTTTTCCACCCCAAAGGGAAGAAAACGATTATTTCAGGTGTTGCCGAGGCTTGACCTGAGCAAACCCTTGCCGGCTATTCGGAGACAGGTACTGATGAGAGCGTGGGGACGTAACCCGCGCCTGCCGCCGCCTCTCCCCGCGCACCCTTCGCGGGGGATTTGAATCCGTTCAGATACAGATCATATTAAGTAGCTAGCATATGTGTGCGTGTTTAGGAAGGGTAAGTAATCTCCGATAGGTCAAGCCTCCGCAAGACCTGAAATAATCGTTTTCTTCCCTTTGGGGTGGAAAACGGTCGTATAAAGGAACGGCTTCACAGTATACTAAATTGACGTCACACTGTACAGTGGTCGCAGTGCCTATCGGAACATACCCGTAATGATTACACTCTGGCTAGCTGTGTAGAAAACTCGACTGTCAAAATATTTACTTTATCATATTTTGTTTAATATATAGTATGGCTTTTCACAACTAGCTATTAACGAATCCTGACGTATTTTGGTCACATCGCCCGTAGGTAACCATGTGGATAGCAAAAGACCACCTGGGCGATTACCTACACGTTGATCTGATTAAATAAGGCTTATAACCGGGCTTCCTGTTTCCACCGTGAATATTTTTTTTTGTGCGAAAAGTTATTAATCGAGCAGACGGTTCACCTGATGTTAAGTGAATACCGCCGCCCATGGACATCTGCCACACCCAAGTGTTACAGATGCGTTGACAACCGTTTGAAAATTGGGCTCCGGCTACCTCACTCACCAGACGAAACGCGAAAGTATTTGTCATACTTCCACTTTACGCTGGTCTTCTGTGAGGTCGTGGTACTTACCCGGACGATCCTGCCCATTCGTGCAAAAGCCGAGGCTGCTGCGTGGCCCTACCACCAGCTATAAATGAATTTGCAAAAATTAAAGCGCATGAAGTGAAGCTATCGAATAATTTGCAAAAAAGTAAACCCAGCTACGCCACTGATTTTTAGGGGGATTGAGGGTGCGAGCGTAAGAATTGTATTGATTTATTGACTACTTTACTGCATGGATCTAACATGTTTTAGATTTTTTGTATTTGGATTACATACAGATTGACGATGAAATAATTTACACGGCGTTCCGCGAGAAAGTCTCCTAGGGCCGACTTTATTTCTATTTATATATCCATGAATACATACAAGCAATAAAAAATGTTCATATTATTACAATTGCTGACAATACAATAATTATTTTTAATTCAAATTTATGGAGTGAAGTACAATGTTATATTCAAAGTGATTTTATTAAAATAAACGAGTAGCTGGATTGTAATGTTTTTAGAATAAGTATTTGCAACCACCAAAAGGTAAATTTTTACAAAAGCTCTATCATACTAACATTCATTCAGTCACCTGTTTCTACATTAAATATATTTTGTACTGTTTGACTATCAAGCGGAATTCGCAGTTAAATTTTAATGTGTTTAAACATTATAGACATATATCGATACCTACTTTTTTGGGGTGGGACTTTTGGATCAATTATTAAATTGAAAATAGTCTGGTAGAAGGAAATGCGAAAATAGTCTAGCAATTTTGATTGTAGCTCAACCGCATTCTTCTTAGAATAGGAATCAGTTCAAAAAAACGAAATCCACTCTCTATAACGACTTTCTATTAAAGACTAGTTTACATCATTATCACGTTATGGAAGTGGCGGGCTACGTAGCTCACATGTTCATAAAGTTTCAACGGACAAAGTGATCGTGGATGAAGCATTCTTTAGAAGAACATAAAAAACCAACATTCAAAAGGGATCGATGGTTTTCTAATTTATACTTATTTATTAAATTCGGAAAAATTCCTCAGAATCGTTGCCGTTGTGTATTTGATAGAAAAGCAAATCAGTGGTAAAGGATGAAGCGGACGGCATAATAATATAGCTAAGTTTAAGGCGCTGTATGCAGTGAATTTTTAACTATTTGGGTGGTGAAGTATGAGGAAGCGGAGGAGGGGTAACGCCGCTTAGCGGCGCGCAGAGCGCGAGTTTCGTCGACGCGCCGCTAGACCAAGTCATTCATTGCTTAGTGTGTGTGTAGTGGTGGGCCGTAGGATACTATGGATAGTATCATGGAAGGCTTTTGAAAATGTACATAGATGATCACATAATATCTTTTATAGACCATGATTGTATTTTACTTTTATATTATAATAGGAATAATAATAAACAAACAAATATAAAGTATGAGAAAGCAATCAACAATTTTAGAAAATGTTCTTCCTGTTTATTATTACTTTTTTAATTAAATGGAAACGGAATTGATTAAAAATACATCTTAAAGTCAAATAAATTAATAAAGGCAAATTACTTATAATTATTATTTTTTGTTTTCATGGTTTATATTGTTATTTTAAAGAAATGGCTCCTAAAATTTTTGCAGAAATTACGAATACAACTTTTTTTTATATATTAGGAATTTTAATTTATCCTTTAAATGTTCAAGATTTACTATGTTATAGTACTTTCTCAACTAAAATGAAATTTAAAAAACTATCGATAAAATCTTTATTTGTATGGATAAACGACAGCAATTATAACAAGAATTAAAATTTTGTCACTTTCAACAGACCTTGCGTAGCCTGTTGGTCCGAGCGTTATACGCCACGGTAAACTTTTGCTGTAGGTGTAGTCTCCTAGTGAGTCTCGTAGTGTAGGTAAACCCTCATCGAGTGGAGTTGTATTTTTTATATTATATTCACTTTTAATTTCTTAGCCAACAAATTATTTTGTTTTTACTTTATAAAATGGCTAAATTTGGGAAATAAACAAATTAATAAGAAAAATTATAAAACAATTATTTTTGGTGTATAAGATAAATTTTCGTTTTAAGGTTTTCGTAGGGTGATAAATTAAATATTTTAAAAAAAACAATAGATGACGTTAAAAAATTTTAATACTAAAAGTTGGTTTATTTACTGATAGATTGTTCTCCAACTGTTTCAACTTTGAACAAAT